ATTCCTAAAGTCTGGGTCAAATGCAAATCTGACTTCTGTTCATTAAAAAAATAGTTAACATTACTTTAAAAACAATACATTTGATAAAAAGCAATGTGTGTAAATGTGTGTGTGTGTGTGTGTGTATTCTACCTTACTGCAAGTAGCACAATTCTTAAAAAGCAATGAAATAGACCCTCAGTAAATTTCTCTTGATGGATGAAGGACAAAAAATCAGGGGAGAGAAGAGAAGGTGAGTGGAAGGAAGGATGTCCATGTCCTGTTCCCTACTTACAAAATTTTAGCATTTATGTTTTTGAATGAATTAGATTCTTCTTAGAAAAATTGAACACCCCACCTCTAGGACTTTAAAGCCCTTTTCTACGTGACCTTGCATAGTGTACAACACTTTCATAATCTTGAGATTTAGTGGAATAGTATTAAATAACTACAACACACTGAACTCCTAAACTTTTTTTTTTCATTCAATGTAGCTTTGATGTTTCATATTTATCTACCACAACACACTGGTTGTGAATTTGGGGGTGGGTTAGGCTTACAGTAGAAACCCAGTTAGTATCTTTCCCTAGGAAAACTTCTGGGAAAATTAAATGTTTGAACCCATTAAAAAAAAAAACTAAGAGATTAAACTGACTGAGGTATCTTGTAGGACAGCAAGAAATATGAAAAAGAACAACTTTTTACTCAGTGTCCATCAGGTGCCAAACAATTTTACCTATACTACCTCATTTCATCTTTATAGTTACCTTTAAGGCACAATTAATAACACAGTTCAGATTATGAAACAAAGAGATTAAGTAATTAGCCTGGCTCACACTACTAGTTAGTGACAGCTGAAATTCAAACTCAGTTTTCTTTACTCCAAAGCACATATGGTTTACCCTTTCTCACACTAACAGTTTTCTAAATTGGAATGTTTGTGATAAAATAAGATATTGTGTATTGTCCTTCTAATGAATACTTTTTCAGCTTTGACTTTTGGCTTTTGAACCGAATTATCTTCTTTCATACATACTTCTGCCATTTAACAATCATGGCACAGTTGGAAATATAACATGTATTGCCCTTACATTAATTAATAGCTATCCCATTTCTAAGAAAAGGGAATTTTAGCACAAAAACCATGTATCCACCTACGTATGTCAAACTTCCTAAGCTAATTTTCCTTTTAGCACTTACAACTGAGCTTCCTTAGTTCTTCAGTAGACCCAAGTGCATGACTTGGGCTACCAAACAATAGTTGGGGGTGAAAAAAAGAGAGAGATATGTATTAAGACAAGGAAAATCAGGAAGTGATGAGATTTTATGGAATCAAGTGAGAACAAGAAAGATCAGGAAGGAGGAGAAGAGGAAATGCTGCCTTAAGAAAATACAAAAAACAACATATTGTGGCCATGAAGAGAGTTTTCTTAGTGATTAGTGACCTCTATTTCCATTCCTGAAAAATCAATTCTCAGGGTGCAGGATCACGACTCCATCTGCACAGTTGCTGATTCATTGTTACATACTGTCTCAGTGTTGAAAAACAAGTTATCCGCCAGTTTAAATATTATTGACTCATTGATTGAATTCTTTTACTAAGAGTGCATGTTGTGATGAAAGGCCAGTCTTTTGTTGTTTTTAGAATACTTTCTCGAGCTGTATATGCAACCATATGATTATTCTCTCATTATCACTGCCAGTTTGCTATCAAGGATTAAATTTATGGTAGATCTACACAGTTTGCTATTAAAAAGTATTAAGGTCATGTGGAAGTATTAAGGTTCTCAAAAGTATTAAGCTTATGGTGAAAATACATAAGCATTAATCTTCTGGGGTTCCGTAAAACATAAGATTGTCATGAAAATGCAAATATCCATTTGCCTTTTTCCAAACCACAAACAGATTTTATCTCCACTGGTTTAAATAATCCTTCATACACACATCTTTCATGAATGTGACTCATCTGGACAACCCCAGAAATAATGGGTGCAACCAACAGTCTTGTTGTAGAACAGCCCAATTGCCCAACAACAATTAGAAGGGAGGGCAAAGAAGATAGGTTTGTTTGCTCTGTCAGTCACACTTAAAGGCTAAATACTAACACTATATTTTTAAAAACAACAATAATAATAGCAGCTAGCATTTAGTTACTTAAGTATTACATATGAGAAACTGTCTTAAGTACTTATCTGTAAGAGCTCTTTTTTTCTTCAGAACAATTCTATAAGATAGGTACTATTATTAACCCCATTTTACAGATATGAAAGGTAAGTCTAAGCTACTTTGGGAAAAGAAACTTCCCTAAACTCACACATATGGCATTAGTCAACCTAGGACTGAACACAAGATTTTCTGACTTCAAAGCCGTGCTGCACCGCTTTACTGGTACTACCTAGAAGCAATCGGAATAGTCAGAGAACTTTCACGACAACTTAGTTATTCAGGACTGACTTTTTACACAATCTGGACAAACAGGTCAAAGGGAAAGCAATTGCCACATAAACCTGCACATGCCATGCATGTGTAAAATTGGTTAACTCTTAGTATCATTTTCAACAAAACAATGATCCTTTTTGGAAGGAAAGATACATGAAAAATCATTGTTGTATTTTTTACAATTTGAACACATTCAGATATGTCCTCGTTGGTTTCATATTACCTTCTCTGCCAGCATCCAGTAAGTAAACAACAAAGGCAAGTTCCATTAGTCTCAAGTAGGTATGGAGTTGACACTAGGCGAATGTTTTTTCTGTGTGACAGGTGTGCTGACAAAGCCCTCATCTGGCTTTATGAACACCTCAAACCTCAGAATAGCTGAGTGTTTTTCTTGTTGTTTTTTTTTCCTTTAGAAATCCTTGGTGTATGATTACTCTAACTTGCCTAAGAAGTCAGCTTACAGTCTTTTTCATAAGTAAATAAACATATACACATAGATAGATAGAAATAAATACAGGAAAAGTAAAGTTCACAATCCCACAATTAAATATGTCTATGAATCCAGTATTTTGAATGTCCAAACTTCCCTGAAAGTCCAGACTGTGTGGTTATGGAGGGGTTTACCTGCCTTCTCTCCATAGAAGTAGGAAGATCTCTCCATAGCTATGTAACAGTAATATCTGTTTTTCTGCAGAGCATATTTAATTGATTATTATAATAATATATGAGGATACTTGAAAAAGTTCATGGAAAAATAGAATTTAAAGATAATAAGAATCTTCCGATTAAGTTTTTTTTTGGTTTTTGTTTGGTTTTTTGTAACATTTACTTGTACATATTTGTGGGGTACATTGTGTTGTTTCAATACATGCATTTACTGCACAATGGCTCACTTAGGGTAGATAGCATTAGTACCCATTAGTTCACCCATGAACTTTTTGAAATGCCCTCGTATACTACATATCGACTGCCTATTCTTTCCAAGCACTTTTTAAATTATGAAATATTTTAAATCAGTATACATCTGAACACTACTAGGCTTTTATTAACTATATATTATTCATATTTGCCTGAATCTTTAAACTTCTACTTTGTTCCTCTTTCTGCTTTGCTTTTAAGCATGGGTTTTATTTTAATGTGTATTGATTTACCTTAAACAAGACAAAAAGAATCTATGAGTGCAAAGTCCAACAATACCCTGTCTTTTCATCAGTGTTATTGACCGACCAGTTTGGAGAGAGGTAGTGTGCTCTTTTCTCTCACCACTAAAGATGCATATCAGTCTTTAACACTTCTCCACCAAAGTGGCAGAGAAGAATGAGTTGTTCCACCAAAATATCTGGGAGTAACATCACACAGGCTGCCACAAGCATAAGAATTCTTCTTAGTATCTCGCTTATTCTTTAAATTTATAAGCATTTTGCACCTTAGTGTATAATATAACCACATTTGTTTTATCACTAAGAGGTTTTTTTTCTTGAATCTTTAACTAAAAGTGAATATTGCATGAACGTGTCCCACATTTATGCCCTAGGTTTTTACACAGCCCTCGGAACACTGCTATACTTCTGGTGATACAAGGCCTAGGTCAAAAAGTATGGATTGTATATCAATTTGTATTTTAAGGGACATAATCCTGTAACTAATTGCATAACTTGGGATCACTAGTATTATTACCATTTAATTACCTGACACAAACGTCCATCCCTTATGCTTACTAGAACATATCTAAAGCAACTTTACTCAGTGTATTTTTTTCAAATGCTTTCCATATTAAAAAATGGAAAATTACTCCAAGAAAACATTCCAAATACTAAGTTTAACACTTTTTTGTGAAAAAGTTCTGATGTCAACTCTTGATTGGCAAAATGGGTATTAAATTGCTAAGATGTATAGAATCATATTCCTCACCCAGAATTACTTTCACTTTTATGTCTTTCCTGACTCTGTAATATAAATCTACTCCTCAAACATAACATTCCTTCTTTGTTTCTTCTTTTCCTTTCTTTTATTATTTACATTGTCTAGTAGAAATGAACTATAAGACTCTACCACTAGGCAACTCCAGGCTGAATTTCTATTTTAATTTCATGCCTCAAATTACATAAAGTGAATTAGTATGTTCTTTGTTTCTTCTATAAGCTTAAAATAGTCTATTTAGAATTTAAAGGAAGCAATTCCCACACCTATAAGAAGCAGCCAAATATGGGGTAGAAGTACAGAGGACTAGGTTTGTCCCATCTTTATATCTGTTAATGTATGTATCTCGGTTTCCTCACTTATCACATAAAATCAAGAATAATGTACACATTAATTCCCTGCAAATACTGTAGTTGAAGTTAATTTCAAAGTATTGGGTTGACTGTGTTCACATTCCAGGGCTCCCGGTTTCACTTCCTGATTGGATCACATAGCTAAGATACCTCAGGCAATGAGGCTTCAAATTTAGTAGCATAGTTTCTCCAAGAAAATAAAATATCCATTTCTCAGGATCATAATACCATGTTGAAAATTTTCAAGCACAGAGCCTACACCTTCCTCTAACACGGGCTAAGAGCAAACACTGAGCATGATGTCCTCACCTGGGTCAGGCGGCACACAAGCACAGGAAAAGTGAGTATTATAGCCCACTTTGAAGTTGGAGTTGATGGGGTAGTAATCTGCTAGCTTGATCATCTTCTTGAAAGCATCATAGATAAAGATGAAGCTAATCAGAGAAGAAAAGCCCTCTTCTGTGAAACGAGTGAAGTACTGAACCAAGAAGCTGGCATCAGTGGCTACCAAAATGAGACACAGGAAGGCTGACCACAGGCCAATCCAAAGGCGAAACTCCAAATAGTCAAAATTATTGTCCCTGGAAAGAAGAAAGAAAGGAATTTAGACTCCTCCCCAATGGCACATAAAGAAAAATATAAAACTACCAAATTTCTGTAGAATGACTCTTAAAAATACAAGATCACTTTTAGCCACTAGATGCAAAAGCTGGATTTTATCCAGGAAGTACTAACTTTAAGAATTTGGGCTACTGATATTGTTATGCTACCACAAAGAAATAGTTCCAGAAGTCTGAGAAAAGTACATTGAAAGTAGTCATACCATTTGTTTGTGAACAACTCATTAATATTCTCATTCAAAAATATGGTCCTTGCCTTCATAGAGTTTACAGGCTGACCAATTTGAAATCATGACAATGGTACCCAGTATGTGTTCAATAAATATTTGTGAGCTTTACTGGTTAATGTAGACACTAAGATCAGTATGTTCTCTGTCCCCGAGTCTTCACAGTCCACTGAGGGAGACAAACTGACAAACATAATCACACTATAAAATATTAAGTGGTAGTGTCACAGAAGAAGGAGTAACTAATTCTGGCTGGGGGGACAGATGAAGTTGCAGAAAAAAATCTCAAGCTGTTCGAGGACAAGTAGTAACTTCCCAGTCAGACCCAGGAGAGTCAGACCAGGAAGAGGAAAGAGTAGTTAAAAAGGCAGGTGGCATAACATGGTGTGTAACACTCACTGTGGACAGTGCCACCAACAGGAGGAGATGGGATTAGAAATGTGGGCTGTGGTCAGATCATGTGTGTGTCTTGGTGTGCTGCAGCCAGACTCTACCATTTCTCATGAAGTTTGCCCACAGACCTTATATCCTTCTGCTACAGCTGGGTATGAAGCATCTTGTGACCACCTGTTTTCTGTCTCTGCTTACCCCACAGCAGACTTAGAATAGGCCATCTCCATTTAAGGTGGCCACTGTCTTTCAAAACACTTCCCATTTCTTAGAAGTAAATTAATTCAGAATTCACAACTACAAAAGATAGGTTAAGTGTTAAAATTTTACTATGTCATATAGATACTTTGAAAATTATGTGTAGAGTGTACAATTATTTTTTTAACTCATAATTTATTTTTGATTTAAAAAAGCAGATAGTAGCATTTCTTGCATGGGAAAAAGAAATAAATCAAGGATCATACACACTTGAAACTCTACAGCCTGGCTTTTAGAAAATCGGTTTCTGATAACTATTAGCGACGTATTTTAATATTTTCCCAAAGACATCATCTCTTCTTTTCTACCACCACCAACCCAGTCTAGGCCACCTACTGGTCTTTGCCTGATAAGAACCTCCTTAGTGATATCTTTACTCATATCTATGCTTGCCCTCTCAAAGTCATTTTCTACACCAGAGCCAAAACAATATTTTAAAATGTGAATCAGATACTCCAGTTTAAAACCTTTTAATGCTTCCACTGCTCTTAGAATACAATTCAAATTCTCTACCTAGCACAGTGCCTGGCACATAGAGGGTACCCAATAAAGATTTGCTTGATGAATGAATGCATGCCTGTAGTTTAAGACTTGACTGAGACAGTTACCGATTTTGGCCTATGAATATCACATGCAATCAGGAGTTGACTAATTCTGTGATAGCCAAAAATTATAGAATATTAGAATTAAAAGTTCCTTAGGTTCTGTGATGGTTAATTTTGTGTCAACTTGACTGGGATATTTGGTGCCCAGATATCTGGTTAAACATTATTCCAGGTGTTTCTGTGAGGGTATTTTTGGAGAGATTAACATTTAAATTAATGGGTTTTGAGTATAGCAGATTGCAATCCATAATGTGGGTGGGACTCATCCAATCAGCTGAAGACCTGAATAGAACAAAAAGACTGACCTCTCTTAGGGCAAGAGAGAATTCTTCAGCATTTGGACTTCATCTGCAACATCAGCTCTCCCTGGTTCTACAGCAGATGGTCTTCAGACACAAACTGAACATTGGTTTTCCTGGGTCTCCAGCCTGCCAGCCTGCCAGCCTGCCCTGCAGATTTTGGACTTGCCAGCCTCTATAATTGCATGAGCCAATTCTTTATAATAAATCTCTTTATATAAATAATAAAGGGATTTTACATTTATATACAAAGAGAGAGCTATAAAGATATATATACATATATAAGATACATATACACACACATTTTTGAAGAACACTGATACAGATACCAATTTGTGAAATATTCTTCATTTTGTAGATGAGGACACCATGGCTAATGGAAATTAAGTCATTTATCCAATGTCAAGGTTTTAATGGCAGAGCTGGACCAGAAACCAAATCTCTTGAATCTTGGATGGTCTTTTTAAAAAGTGTATACTATTGGTCCCCTATCTGATTTGTATTTAGGTCAAGATAGGGCGGGAATTAAAGTCATTGTCCTTTGTTTCCCTCTTCTCACCCAATCACAGGAATTGGAATACATTACCAGAGCAGGAGATTATTAACACTGGGGTAGAATGTTATTTTCTACAGATATTCTGGGATCTTTCTGAAAACAGCTTTTGCATTCCCTCCAGTTCCCTTGTGTCTGGAACCTCACTGTTTAATCCTGTGCATGTCTTTATAAGATAAGTACACTACAGAAAAAACTGAGTTCTAGGAATTGAGATAATTTACATTATCATACAATGCATATCAGAATAAGAGCTGAGAAACATGGTTTTTGTTTTTACTCCTAAGCCAACACACTTTTTTCTTAAAAAAAAAAAAAAGTTTTAAACAATCTTGCTAGTTTTGCTTCCCTAGCAAGATGAAAGTTAAAACAATCTTGATTTGTTCTAAGAATGCTAGTGGTTGTTTATAGAATTGATGTTTACAGGACAGAATGAGAAACAAATCCATTAACTAGCTAATGGTTAGGAACACTATCAGTTTGGGTTGAGTACAAAGGAAAAAAATGCGTGTATAAACTTAAACCTCAGAACCTAAACAACATACCAAACTAGCTGCTCTAAAAGATTTAAATATTCCCAGAGTAGTTCAACAAGAATGAGCCAAATAAAATCACTAAAACCAATGGCACTTAATTATGATATTATTATATTTTTATATTATTATTATGATATTATGATATGTTTAGAGAAGCAAGAAGAGAGAGAGGAATAAGAGATGAGAAACTTTAAACAAGCTGATCATTTGTAATGACTACAATAAAATGGCATTATTACATCCAATAAGTATCCTTGGTGCCAAGTTTAAATAGCAATTAAATTATAAAAAGCAACAGAAAACGACAGTAGAGACTGAAGAAGAAATTATGGTGAAATAGAAGGAGAAAATGGACTTATACCCTTATGGTACCACTCAGTGTAGCTAGATATTTTGAATCATAGTTTCTGAGTAGCATAAAACCAAGGATACAGACAAACTGGAGTCACATCTGAAACAAGCAACAAAAATTAGTGTCCAGCCACTGACAAATAATATAAACTCCCTAAACTAAGGGAACAAACTCAGCAATATGAAAAGAAAATAATAATTTGAAGGCCTAAAAATAAATTTTACAAAGAATACAGGAAAGAAAGTACTGAAAGACCAAATGATAATAATACAGGCTAAAATCCAACTTTAATCGTTAAGTTTTTACGTGGCTTAGGACACAATGCTAAAACTTCTTTCAGGTTCCTCACTCAAGAAGACAAAAAGAATCTAATTCTCTATTATTGGGATACAATGTGTAAAAATAATGCAAAAGAAACTATAGAATTTGAGAAATAAAGCTACAAGTGACTTTTGGAAAGTTGTGAACTATTTTCTTCACTCTATTACTAATTTTAAGAGGTTACAGCATATTATTCATATTACTTTGTGATTCTCCAGTTTACAGGTTAAATATTAAAACCTCAGTGCTAAATCTGTGGATTACGTGAAGTTACTGTTTGAGTCCACTGAACCTATAAAACAAGGATTTACCCATTTCTCCAAAAATGGTAAAATATGTTGGAGAAAATCTGGGCAAGACAAAGTTAAAACAGTTTCTTTACTGAAGGACCTCTTAGATCCTTTAGTATGCTAAAGTGTAAAGTGAGTTATCAAGAGCAGGATTTAATATACAGAACTCCCGGACTTACTGGGATCACCAAAGTTTTTGTTCATGGAGCACCTAGCGGGACTAGTAATTGATGAAACATACTTTGGAAATGGTGATCTATACAAATACTCTGTATCCAGACAAAATATTAGTACTGCTACTATAACACAAGCAAATGATACCTCATTGTGAATAAAATAATGTTTGCCACATAGTACTCAGTGACTCTTTTAAAGTAGTTTTAAAGCATGGTTTCTCAAATGTTCCTCATTGCTTTACAACTGTTTACAAATAAATCACTTGGAACTATGTTACCAATTATGATGAAACAGAAGAGAAAGTGATAACGATACTTGCTTAGTGAGAGGAAATAACCTCTATCCCATAATTATTTAAAGCAAACTGGGATGCAAACATTTTCTGTAGATTAAGGCTCTGATCACATTTCACCCAATAAATCTTTCTGCAAAGGTTTCACCATGTTTGTTCCTGTTTATAGAACATCCTTGTTTAATTTTTCTACAAAGGCTTTCTTGTCTCACACAATGTTTTCTTAAACATATAAAAACTGTTTGACTCTTTCTATAAACTGACATGAATAAAATTTTTTCCAATGTCCTCCTGAGAAATATAATGGAGAAGTGATTTGTAATAATGACCTGCAAAAACTCACAACATTATTTAAAATTTGAAACTTTAAATTCTCAGAAGACTCTTGTCGAAGTTTTCAACCCAGTTTTCAAAAAACTGATTTTAAAGCCTCTTTCTCTCCTGTTTCTTGTGATCATTTTTGATGACATACATAGTTTCAAAGGCTATATATGAGTCCTTAAGTCCATGAAGTACTATGCAGGTAATGACAATTCTAAAATTAAAATCCTAAGAATGCATAACAATATAAGAATATCGAAATTCCAACAAGGAGTGCTAGTACGCCATATAAAAATTCTGCAATCTAAGAATTGAGATCTGCCAGTAAAGGCAATTCTCTCCAGAGGTATCAAGTACATTAGAAAGAGGCCAGAATGCCCAATTTGATTTTGAATCTATTTGTGTGCTAATGTGGCCACTTGGATAATTCACTTAACTCAATTCCCCCCAACCTTCTTAAAATGATCCATCAATTTTGAAGAGAAAATATTGATATCATAATGGTCATACCCATTAGCAGTGTCTAGAGATTCCTTTAAGAGGCATGGGCTCTGGAGTCAGAAAGAAGGAATTCAAACCCCAGCTCAACCAATGACTGGTGATGTAACATTTGGCAGTTTACTTATTCCTTGCCTGCTTTCTCATCTATAAAACAAGATATGGTCCCTACCTCATAGGATTTCTGTAAGAATTACATGAGTTAGTCCACGTAAAGTGATTCAATAATACTTGGTGCATGGTCAGCAGTCAATACATGTTAGTTATTATTCTGCTGAGTCTTGAAAACTATCTTCAGTTAGGAAACCTGGAACTGAGGTTGGGAGCAGTGAACCAAGAAAACAGCAACCAGTCTCTTTTATTAATGAATCATGTGACCATACACAAGTTATTTAATTTCCCTAGTGTGTTAGTCAGAATCACGGCAGGAAACAGAAGACATTCTCATGAGGGATTCTGAGAAAAACTTAATAAATGAGTCATTTACAGAAGTGTGAGTATCCAAGAATGGCAAGGCCCTCAATGACCAGAACCAGCAGGACTAACTCCAGGCTTGACAGGCCAAAAAAGAAGAGTTACAAGTGATGGACTTTGGACGTGACCAGCACCATTGTGCACACAATAAGCACCAGCATGAAATAGCCACCAGCCTCGTCTTCCACTCCAGCACCAAGCCCCTCCCCTCTTCCCTTTACCAGAAGCCTCCTGACTTAGAAACAGCTTTCCGGCTTCTGCATCGGTGCAGTTCTCCACCTACCTAATGGTCCCTCCCCCTGTACATTTCACGCCCAAAAGCTAATATAAACTCTCACAAACCCATTGTTGGGGCTGTCCCCCATTTTCAGGGCAGCCCTGTGCTGTCCTCCATTTTGAATACAGCCTGGCAGATTTATTTCTTTAATAAAGCTTGAAGGGTACCCGGCATCTCAGCTCACTTTCTTTCAACTGGTGAGGGCTAGAACCAGGGAGGAGGGGCCACCTGAAATGGGCTAAAGTCTCAGGGTATAAGCCACTTCCAGATGGCTGTGCTAAAGCAGAGGCAGTGTGCGGGGAGGTAAACATCCTAGGAACTTTCTATCTTACAGTCCTGCTGGTGCTGCCCATTAGCCAAACCACCAGGAAGCAAGAGGGCAAAGGAGACTGGGTGTTGCAGTCCATAGTGGTCAGCCTCTCAGGGCACAAAGCTGGACAATAAAGGAAGAGAATAACTGGCAAGGGAGCAAGCAGAAAATACAGCATGTGGGTCTCCATTGAATCAAATGTAGAATGAGTGTTGGACTACCTAATTTCTAAGGCTCCTTCAACTTCTAAATCTTAACATTCCAGCATTCCAATTGATTCGTATACCTATGTTACTACTCTGTGATCTATCTAGACTATGCATGTTCTACAATCAAGCAACCTAATTTATAATTAAATATGTATATACATACTTGCTGAAATTAAATAGAAGCCTCTCAAAAACTAGGACAGGTCCGGTGCTGCTCAAAATAGTGAGTGGTTGACCGGCAAAAAGGCAAAAGATGGCTCCAGAGACAGCAGTGCCCAGGAAACTCTCCAACACACCCTAAAAGAAAGAAAATATGGGTGTTAAATGAAACACATCTTTTTTCTTCCCATTTGTGATGTCACTAAGGAAATGAAGTTGCATGAATATGCTATTATGAAGGCCTTAGAAAACATATCAAGAATGGAGAACAAAGATTGTTATCCAATGTGAATATTGCCACCATTTATTTTACCTTACATACAATTTAGTCATCTTTCCTACTCCAAAGGGTTGGATTGCTGCAGAGAACTATAATGACTGTAATGACTGATGTATAGAAGGCAAAAGGTGGCTGTGATCCTTACTAAAAATATTAATTGAAGCTTCTATCCATGAATTCATATTCTGTAACTCCACCAAATGGATAGAAGTGACTTGGTACTTTTGGCCGCATTTTTCTTTTTGTGGTCATCTTCAGTGTTTATTTTAGCCTGATTTTACTTTGTACGTAACAGGTACTACTCAGGCACTTTTGTGCTATATTTTATGCACGAAAGCTATTTTACCTAGGGAAAACGTTTTGAAGTAGAGAGGTTGCTCTCCATTCTGCAACTTCTCCAAGACACCAATTTCCAAAACATTCTCATTACATATTCATTGTCTACTGTAAATTTATACAAGAGCTTCGATTAACTTTAACTCTAGAAGAAATAGAGGTACAGGGACATGAGTAGCTAAACGTTTGCGGCCACATTTCCTTGTAGTTATATCTCTGGAAATCAATCCATTGTTTTCTTTTAGCATATCCAGGACAAAGAAACACTTGTCATCAAGCAACACTGACATATAAAATTATCCTTTCTTGGTCACATCATTCAGGACCAATATTCTCAATGATGAAAAACTGACCTATTTCTTTTACTTTTCATTATTTCAACTTCAATTAGAAAAGCACATGTGTATTTGTAGGAAGGTCCTTTTGTAAACTTAAAATAATATTTTGTCAAGCGATAATTTTCAAATGTAAAAAGAGGACAGACACCCTTTATTCTTATGTAAAGCTCTAAATCTGAACATTCAAACATATAAAATAAGACATTTTCAAATGAGTAAATAAAGAAATTCTATAGCTTTAAAAGAAAATAACATATTTAGTGGTACATTAATTTAAACTGTGGAGCAAAATGATGTGATCTCTGTAACTTTATGTGCGTACCAAAATGGAATGGTATAGGAAGATTTTCCTCTTCAATTAAACAATAAATTACCTGATCTTAGAAGTATGATTATGATACATAAAACAAGCCTCTTAATCTAAACCACCACCTGACTGGAGCAGAGTGGATATCTGGGGAATCTGAGGTGTCCCTCAGTCATTTTTCCTTTCCCTCCCAACCCCCCAGTTAACCTGTCCACCTGTCAGCCTCACTGAGCCTTCTTCTTCTACTGTCCCCAAAGTTCTCCAACAGCTTTTCATTCACTTATTATTTTTAGAGAAAATACAATATACTATACATAAAATGATCATGAAATTGGTTTTTGAAAATCAACTTACAGAATTTAAACACACTGAGTTCCATGCCCACTCAAAAGCCATCCTAGGAGGCCCTTATTGCAATGATTACTCAAAATATTTTCTACACTGCTTCAGAGCCAGCAGCATACTCCCTGGAATGACATTAGCAATAGCATATCCTCCTGTTTTAAGAGTAGCATTCAATTAAGAAAGCAGATGAAAATCCTTTAAAGCAGCACTTAAATAATAATGGAATTGGGGTGGGTGGGCAAAAAAAGGGGTTGACAACTATGTAATAGGAATGGATTCTCTCATGGCAAGTAAATATACTCTGAAGCAATCCAGAACAACTTCTGTCCATAGTGAAGTCTAGTTTAAAGCCTGGCCAGATGGTCTTCTAAGGGACCCCATTTACACAGAGGTGAGTTCTAATGCATGGCTGAAGGATGCCATAACATTACTTATACCCATTCCACACATAGAGAGCATCAAGGTCATTTTTCCTCATAGTGACAGAAATCAGAATATTGAGCAAGGCCAGCAGAACCAAGATCCACTTGTGCAGAGAAGATAGAACTGGATTCCCCTATGTACAACAAATAGTATTTGTCTTGAGCTCTTACATATTTAGACATTGAGATTCAGGATTATTAAAATATATGAACAAATTCACATTCAATATGTCACAAGTCTTTGGCGTATGTACCTGCCCAACCACACCTCATCCTTGCCTTAAACTGGGATTTTCTTGAACATGCAGTTTTTCACCCTCTGTGCATGGACAGTGAGCTTTCCATGTTTTCTTCTTTTATGACTTACATTAGTGGATGTATAACATGAAAAGTTAAGGACTTGAATGTTCTGTGCAGCAGGACAGGCCACACTCTGGGTATTTGTGATAGGCAAAGATACACTGCATCATTCTTTATCGAGTGTGGAGGAGTGTCTATTTCTCATCACTACTGCAGGATCAAAACATAGCACAGGCTGGGTGTAAGGGAGAACATAAAGTAAGAAAGGAGGGATACAAGATTGAGCATTCTCTACTTGACTTGACATAGCTATTAATCTCTGTGAGGGCAAGAACAGGGTCTTCCAGTGTCACGACATCCTGTTTCTCCTTCTCCCATCATGCTATCCACCATCCCTCTATGTGCTCTGCAAGCACTCAGTAAATGCTAAAGGAACCAAAGAAGAAATGCCCAAATGACACCCCAGGTTCCGCTTATCAAAGGTCAATAGCCGTTGTTGCTCATTCGCTAAAGATAACAACCAATTTCTTCCAGAAAACGGCTTTGATTTATGGAAGCCATGTGACTGTTAAAAGACAGATTATTTTTATTTCAGTACTTGATCCTTTCGTAAGTGCTACAGTTTCCATTCTGTTACTGACAATTTTGAAACAGAGAAGGGTGATTTATTATACACACTGCACTGGAAACTTGCTTAAACTTGGAGATGCTTCCAGTGTTTCTGAGAAAAGAACTATTTTGACCTGTTCCTCTTCACAATATAGAAACTTTAAAAATAATCTCACACAATGAACAATTTAACTGTCACTAGAGTTTAAAGCAATTTATAAGGTGACTATCAGAAGACTCCTTTCTGATTTATTATATTTGGTGTTCACTGATATAAAAAAGGAAAACAATGTGTGGATGTGTGTATTTTTAATAGCCATAACTCATAAAGATATTTCTGCACCTGATTTCTCAGAGAAACAAACCCCATAGCAGTTCACAAGAGTGTAGACAGCTGAGCTCTGAGGTGTGGCGGGATCAGGTGCCACAAAGTGCTCTGGTCCATGCCAGTTGGGCTCTCATTCTATTCCACTTCTGATCAGTGCACAGAAAAAAGAGCAAGCAAGTGGCAGTCAGTAAATGTATAGTGTAGGCTCTGTTGTGCCACCAGAGAGATGATGATCTTAGGAATGTCACTTTACCTCTGTCAATTTGAGTTTCTTCACGTAGGAGACAAAATCAAGATGACACAGTAGAGCAATGGTCTCTGGAGTAAGACAGTCCCAAATTGACATCTGGACTGTATCATTTCCTCCATCAGTGACTTTAAGTAAGTTAGCTTAACCTCCCTATGCATTCTACAGTTAGCGTGCACATTAGATCGGATAATGTATGTTAAGTACTTGGCATAGTCTCTGATGGATAAAACTTGTCTGATAAGTAGTAACCATATATATAATGCATTTATCTAAATGTGAGATGAGGAGGTTGGACTGGATGATCTCCAAAATCTCCTGCAGGTGGCTCAGCACTAAGAGCCTGTCTTGGAGTCAAGGATATCTGAGTTTTAATCTCGGCTCCACCAGTTAACGACTGGGTAACATCTCTAAATCCTAATTCCCTCTTCTGTAAAATCAATAGCTAATTCACAGGATAATGGTTTGGATTAAATAAAACAATAATATATAGAGTTGAGAATAAAGCCTGGCACAAAGCAGAGACACAATACACGCTGGCCTTCACCGCTTCTTATCTCCTTCCCCTGCCCCGTCTCTGTTAACTCTCTTTCCTCCAAGAATGGAAGGAGATGGAGAGAAAGTCAAAAGGAGTGACATGAAAGGAAAAGATGAAGATTAGTTCTCAGAGAAAAAGGGGAAAAAAGCTTCTTTAGAGCTGCGGTATTTCCCAGAGCAAATTCTAAATCAACAGAAGGCTTAGTGGGTAACATTATGGCCATTGAGAGTTGCTTCTTTTCTTTCTTTGTGTTACTAAACACATGGAGTAGACCGTAAAAAACAAAATAGTTTGTTTTACTTTAAAACAATGAAGTCAAAATCCAAATCCAAAATAATCTGTGAATCTTTTTCTGCTCGCATTAGGGTAGGAAATTAAACCAAAGATGGCCTCTGTTTTTCAAAACAGCCATGAAAATTAGAATAAGTCCCAGGATAGTAAAATCAAGCATAAAAGAAATCAGATCATAGGAGCAAGATTCTAAACAATTAAAATCTAACCACAATTTGTAACACCAGCACTTTAAGGATTTGAGCTACCTGGGACAAGGGCTGCCAGGGCCACCATTTCCTGTCATGACTAATGCAGAGCAAGCACATTCAAGACGATAAAACATTAAAAACTAAAAATGTATGCTGTCAACTTTGACTTTATTGCAATTTAGCATCTTGATATAACACTAATAAATGATTTCTGTTGTTTTTTGCCCTTTTTATTAAGGACTTTATTATTTGGATTAAAAATTACAACCCTGTTTAGGGAGTTTGAATGGCAATAATAGGACAAAAAAACGTAAAGGCTAAGAAGAAAAGTGGCACAATTGCCCAAGAAAACAAACAATTTTCCATTTCTTTGACAATTTACAACCTCATAAAACCTGGAAAATAAAATATTTTGGTGGCATTAAATGATAAAACATTCACCAACATTGTTGTTATATTTCAGGCTTAAAAGTTTTTTTTCTAACAATAAACATAAATTTTAGCCTGTGTTGGTGGTGATTTATATAAACTGTGCAGAATGTTGAATAATAAAATTATATTTCTCTAGATGAATCTTTGAATTTGAAGTTTAGCCAAGAAAAATGA